AAAGTGGAAGAAATTTTCTCAATGCATTCCTGACATATCATGTTCACAAGAATGTGTTTGACAAGTGGGCAACCTGAAAACATAATGCCTCTGGCCGTGGTTATCGTCTGCATGGAGGCATAAAAAGGTTTTGACAAATACTGTAAATAACTTCCAGCTGCTGCTATTGCTTTATTTAAATATACATCTGTTATGCAAAATATTGTAATATTTAGTTTACACAGATGATTACATGATGGTTGTCTGTAATTACTTTTCATTTAAATGTGATGTTTATTCTTCAGATGGAACCACATGGCTCTTATAGCACATCTGCTCCTACAGTTACGATACAGTATGTGCTTATGTGAAAGCTGGCATTCATTTTGTTTTTCTTTTATTACATTCTATCACATCATCATCATCGTGTAAAGCCATAAATGTCCTGAATCAACAGGATGTTTTTGGAAATAAACAGTATTGTGTTTACATGTTAACAGTGGATGTCACATGCCAAAATGATAACAGATACAAGGATACATTGATGGATAGATAAAGAAGGTCTATAGAAATATGTATCTCATTTTTTTCTCTGTCTCTCTGATATCCTGTTTTCTATGACAATGCTTTGAATCCATAGCGAGACCAAAGCATTCTGACAGTGCCTGCCATGGAAACTTCACAGAATAAGATAACTGTGGATAGGTATTTAGACAAGCAATACTTCTTCTGAAGGCTGCTCCTGGCTGACACGTCAGGGATTATACTGAACATCTTCTGATGGGGTTTTCACTACTAGATGTATTATCCTTTGAAAATATTTTTGCTTATTTCCTTTTTATTTGCTTCACTACATAACTTCTATTGGTTGTGTTTCTAGGCGAAGTACACATTTTTTGAAATATTGCATTCAGTCATTCTGCTTGGCTGGAAGGAGAGTTTAATAATTTGGATTTGTTGTCATGTTATAAGTGCATGCATTATTCATAAATCCATCATAAACAGTGTCCTTTATGATAGGTGCAGCCACCCTACTGTAAATACAGCTGTGACACCTCTAATGCATTTCCATTGGCACTGCTATGGTTTGAAAGCGGCTGCCACGTCTGCTGAGAATACAGTTTCTATTTTCTCTTCACTCAGAAGCGACTCTGCAGCCTCCGTCTGTTTTACTCCCATTTCCCACTTTAGCTCATCATATTTCATCAGCCACCGGAGGGGTGAGGCTACTGATTTTTACATCTGATAGCAAAGCCCCCATCGCTCATCCTCACTGCACTCTGTCTCTCACTTCAGTGGCCTCCTAATTTAATTTTAGGGGAGAAGTAAGAGCAAGCAGAGCATGAGTGCTCAGATATTAATACTGCTTCTCCTGGAAATGATAATGATAAACTGCTATTGCACTTTTGCTTTCCAGTATTTGTTGAGGGATAATCTCACTGACCACATGGCCATTGTGTTATACAGTAGTGTAGTCAGTGTGTCGTATCAGTCATGTTGTCTCATGTACTTAATTTTCAGTTTCTTTGGCTCAGTCAGTGATTTCACTAAAACTAAAATCATATTGAGAGGACATGTTCTTTACCTGTTTTCAAATAAATGTGTCTTTACAATAAAAACAAGAGCTCTCAGAGAGTGCATGTACGTACCTCTGCCAAGGCACAGCATTCACTCACGCAATTCAGTTCCTTGTGAAAAATGAGATCCAGAACAACACAATGTCCTAAAATCCTTGATCCAAATTGGTTCTGTTTTCATTATAGGCCAAGTTATGACAAGAAATATGTGTTAAGTGGGGTTTTTCAATGTTTTCAATGTTAAATTTGAATGGCTGTCAGATCAGATCCATATGAAATTTGGTCTGGTGACAGGCATTGCTACCCTACATTTGTGTGTTAAATTTCAAACAAAAATTGAATTTGACAACTTTTGACAGACATATGATTTTTATTTTTTATTTTGATTATCTGTCCAGCTATTTGTCCATAATTCTGCTAACCAACACACACACCCACACACACGCACGCGCACACACTGAACCTCTTGGACTAGGTAAAAATCCACCTTCATTGCATTAGTTTGAAGTCCTCTTATTCCACCATTATGGGTAAAAGTTATACAATTAGTTCCAAAAGGAGATGTGCTACATCTAGTCACGTGGCCTGTCCTATAATTTGTACTGATAAAAACTCAGCAGGATGGTAGAAGTTTGAAATATATATAAAGTAAAAAATCTACAGAAGTTCAAGCTAAACCTTTTTTGATCAGATAATCCACTTACAAGTTATAGCTCTGAAATTATATTTTACTGTAGTAATGGTATTGTAAGAATGTTTTTAAATTGCAGAAGTGGATTACGTAACGCAAAAACCCAAGAGATGTATGCGCCTAGTAAGCCTCTCTATATATTATCATTTTATATCAGTAGGTTTGGTAATAAAATGTATTTAAAATTTCAGTTTGACGAATCTGGACAGTGGGAACAGCAGCTGGGAAAATGTGACACAGTCCTCATCAGTAGACTGACGTGCCGTTGAACTGGAAATGTTCAAACTCTGATTCTAAACACGTCCAGTTGAGCTTTATGTTTGGCTTTTCCTTCTGCCCCAACTTTTTCTGGTTTGGGGTTATAAATCCATTGGTTGCTAAGCCGTTATCATCAAATTAGCATTAAAAGGGGTGAAATTACTAACTCGCCCCATCATAAAATAACTTCCCCACATGTACTGCTTCTGTGTTAATAGTCTGACAGCTTTAGTTGTTTTAACTACACTTCATAGTTTAGCTTTCATATATTATTACATACATATTATTATTTTTTCCTATTTAATGCCAAGGGGGTATCTGTGTTTTATCTATGATTTGTGAGATTCGGAAGATTAGTGTGCCTTACATTCCAGTAGAACATCTCAAGAAAACCTCTCTCTTGAGTAGATTCATTTTTCGACTGCAAGGGTAACTGGGGAATGGGAGGAAACAAAAAACCTGTCTATATTCTTCCTGTAACACACCACTCTTCTTCATTTCCTGCTCATAAATCTCATTCTGTCTTTTTGTTTTAGGTGTTAAATTGGTTTTTTTTGTTTGTTTTTGTTCTTTTTGCCCATCTCTCCAGCCTTTAGCTCGGCCATTCATTCTCTGGATGGGGCAACACAGCGGAGTGACTTTGTCTCCATCCTCAGGGAGTTTGGGAACCACTATGTGCAGGAGGCAGTGTATGGGTTCCAGGAGTCCTGTACCATCTGGTACCCCAACAAACAGGTCCAGAGACAGCTGTGGTTGGAATATCAGGACATTAGCAAAGGTAGGACACACACACACTTACATACAGTGAGTGGATTTGATGAAGAATTATATTTATAAATGAAAGAAAATAACATTTATTGGCTCGAGCTTTCAGGTAAATCAAATGTTTTTGTGACTGTGTGGGATGTTTGAGCATCACTGTTTAATCCTGGTACTTATTTATAGACGCATTGATTGTACTGTACCAATGCACAAGCTATTACAGGCACAAAATATGTAGAGGCTTGGAACACTGTATGTGTTGGGGTGGGCTGGATTATTATGTGACAAATTAAGTTTTGGCAGGGGCCATGTTCATACTAGACCCTTAGTGTCTATGCTTTTTCAGAGAATCACTTAAACCTCACATGGGTCCTCTTTGAACAAAACTCTGGTCTTGTTTTTTTTTTTTTCTTTTTTTTCTTGGTTGTACCCTCATTTAGAGAAAAGTAATGGACTCCAGGGGTGGCTGTCTTTCAGGAATCCTCTTGGGGCTCTTGTTTGAACCATCAGTTTTTATTATTTTTTCTAAACCTTTTATGGAAGTATGGCTTGTTGATGGTTTTGGTAGGGATTTAGGCACCACCAAGCACACAGAGTGAAACACACACAAATAAGTGCTTCTTGTTACAATGGCTTGGTTTTTAAATATGAAGCAGTAGAACAGTCATATTTAACTTCCATGTAAATGACAGCTCCATGCTCACTATTGTACTGGTGTCAGTTTGTTGGCTGCGTTATATGTGTGACACACAATGCAAACAATGTAATGCCAAAAATCTTTTATCATCAGTTCAAGAGCATGTGTTGTACAGTACGTCATAATGTGAGTTAGCCCTGAAATCAGCATTCCTCCATCTCAAGCAGTTACACAAAACCACAATTACTCTCTAAAAGCTTGAATGAACAATCAAAACCAAACGTCTCAGCTTTTTTGTTTCATTACTCAAAATGCCAACACATTACCTGCTTATTTTCTCAGTAGGTTGCAGCAGTGAGAATAGTCTTTTTTTCCCCACCCATTTCATCTCAGTTGGCTCTGAACTGTCCGCACTTATTTGATTTCTTTGCACCGACCACTTTTCCTTCCTTCCCTTTCTTCACCTGCTTTGTTCAAGGACACCCCTACTGTGCCGCACTGTTCACTCCTAGTTACCTCTGCACTGACAGATGGCATTAGATGACTGAGTTTTCCTACCCTCATGAAAAGTGCATTACTCTTCATCTTCAGCTGCCTCTGAAACACCACTTGCAGATGCTACTAAATGATTCAACATGATCAAAAGATGCCATGCTCCTTCTCTTGAGCTGCATTTTTTCTCCCCCAATTCATGCTAGATCAAGGCAATTTGCTGTAAGTTTTTTTTTTCTTTGAATTGAACCTTCACTGAACCTTCACTTTCCAATAAAATCACATACATATATTTTGAGTGTATTGGACATAAGCCTTAACAGTATTCTTGTCATGTGTAATTAACTGAATGTTATGTATCCTGGACAATGTCCGCCAAAAACACATTCACTATGGTAGATCAGTTTTTGAAAGGACATTGCACCGGAAATTAACACCTTTTAATACAACACAAAAAACTAGACTCAAATGACTATCACCATTTAGGGCTTGACTGAAACTTGAAATGTGAAAATACCAAATTTTGAGATCTGTTAACAAAGTTATCACAAAGTACTGGTGAAAATACCAAATTTTGAGATCTGTTATCAAAGTTATCACAACATTTCTGATAACAAAAAAAGTCTTACTGCACATCATACATCTTTAGTCATAGCTAGGATGATAAGGTGCTTATACAGTCCTTTCTAATGAGAAAAAAATCAACAGTAATCATAAGAATGACAGAACACTGGCACTTTTTTGAAACAATAAAATTATTGTTAGTGTTCTCATTATAATCTACAGTACATATGCTTCCAACTGTTTCTAGTATTACTTTTCATTTTGTAGACTTCCGCTGGCTCTGGATGTAAGCAGTAACAAGGGGCCATATTTTCCTCAGCTTACATTCTTGTTATCAGTCCCCATGTTGAAGCAACAATAAAACATCAGATCTGATCCATTTGGGGCTGAAAATTTGATTGTCTGACTGGTATGTAATCTATCCTGAGTCTATTTTTCCTGTCAGACAGGGAGTATAGTGATTATGTTGGGGTGTGAAGATCTGGAATTATTCAGTCTAAATGAATAACAGTTTCAAACATGGCCCAGGACCATCCATTTCTAGAAAATGAAATACATTTCACTGGAAAATACTTGAAATCAGAGTCATCTTTCTTAATCTTTTCCTGGTTTCTTGGAAACATCCTGGCCTTTTGCAGGGAGTAATGAGCTCACGGGAGAGTTTGATGATCCATGTCCTCGCCCTTTGCTCTAAATACAAGTTTTTCCTGACTGCAGCTTTCATCCATATTCAGTGAGGAGCTGGTCTGCTCATTTCATACTCTTAGTTGCCTGGGGCACAGTTGCAACCATCTGTTCTAAGGCCTTTTTATGTATATGGTTAATAATTATATTAAATACAAGTGGATTTAAAGAAAAAAAATTGATGTATTTTTCCAGTAGTTCACTGATGTTTTGCACTGCATCTGTGGAGAAACACTGGTTCCCCGTTGCAGAAGAGAGAGGAATTTGTTGTATCTATCTCATTCAGTATAGCAGCTCTGAGTCTTCATCTGTATGAATTGCAGATATCTGGGTTATATGATTTCATACCTACAGTATGAAGAAAATTTTATTCAGCTAATCAAATACTGTATGGGGTGCTTGGAAAAAAGACAAAAAAACAAAAACAAAAGGCTTTTGTGAATTCTCATAATAAAGAATTATTCTGTTACCTAAAACAACCACTCTTCCAGGGAGGAGATTTTCACTTTAATACAAAATCAATAAAAAAGGGTCTCAGGAACGGTGATATTTTGTGGCAGTTGTGCACCGACTATGAATTATAAATCTGTAGATCTGATTCTGTTTACAAATTAAATTACTGCTTTGAATGTGCAACCTAGGATGTTTTTTCAAGATTCTTGTTCAGATTTAGTTGAGCTCATATACCTTTTGTGAAAATATAGTCATTCCTCAAAATGTTTAGTCTTTCCCCTTTAAAAAGGCTTGGATTAGTAAATAAACAATTAAACAATTCCTGATATCATAAGAAGTTTAGATTTTACTAAGGAGACCGCTCCAAAAAAAGTTCTGGAGTGTGTTAACATGTGTTAAAATGAAATTTGAGGCTGAATTAGGAAATGGAAATTCTTGTTCATACATGGTTGGAATG